TGTATTGTAAGGATTACCAAGTTTTGAAAGGGTAATACACGTTTGTAATGTTTTACAGAGACTATACATAGTTATTATTTCTTAATAATAATAATTTCCCCTTACATCCATTCATTATTAAAATAACAAAAATCAATTATATTAAAATATTTGTACGATACATCATTATCTACAATAATTAAGGAAAATAAACCGAAACACATACATAGTGCAGCCTGCGTCAAGATTTGTGCAGAGAGCGAGTGAGAGTGTCCGTGTCTGCTGTGATGCGAATACGAGTAGGTAGAGGTTGGGATCGGACCAGACTTGAGCAGCGAACGAGTGCATTACGGGTGTCGATTGCCAGGCCCATCCCTTGACCAGATCCAGACGGACCACCCAAAAGCGAGGGCATTGAGAGGCTCAACGGTTATGACTGCATCTGCGGTTGACCCATCCTTGCAAGCACACCGCATCACCCATCTCAAAATCACCAAAGTCTGCCATCCCCACTTCGCGCACGCTACTACACGTCGTGTGCGGATATCCGAACAGGCAGCCATACAGTGAACTATCGGCGGAGAGCGAGTCGAATTTGCTGTAGTCGTCAGAATCGGCGGTAGATGCTGATGAAGAGACACTCACAATACTTGTAGTGTATGATGAGCTGCCTCTTGCCTCGTTCTTTTCCCAACAGCATCCGCAACGGAAGAGGAAGGATGTGTTCTCGGGCCGTTTGATGTAGTCTTCATCACCACGCTTTGGTCGTCGCTCGGTCCCTGCAAGTTGAATTGCGTGTGCCTGTCGGTTGTAAGGTTGTGCGTGTTGTGTAGGTTGAGGTTGCACTTGTGAGAGAAGTTGTGAGACTGTCTGGCTAAAGGTGTGAGTGTGAGTATTGGCATTGATGTGAGTGGCTAACTGGAGCGAGGAGATGGATGTATTGCGATGGCGTGTAGCGAGTGTGAGCGGTGCACCGGGGTCGTGATCCGGAGCGTTGAGCAAGATGATTTGGGCTGCAGGCGAAGCTGTGTTTGTACCTGCGCATTACATGCTCTGACTACGTCTCACAATCGGAGGTACAGTGAACTGAGTTGTTGGGGATGACTGCAAAGGTGTATCTCTGGGACGTTCTGGCTCGAAGGGAGGAGGAAGAAGTGGAAGGTGTGGACGGACTCAGCTCAGGAGGGGTGAGTGGTGGGCCACTACTTCCGTTATTCGAAACGGTGTCATGAACGGCACTAGGTAATGTAAATGCACGTCAAGCATGGAATGGCGGGTGGGGAAGGAAAGTACGCGAGGGGTCGGAGAGAGGATCGCACCTTGGGAGTGGTTGTACATAGACATTGTCGCAAGCGTGTGCTCGTCGAGTGTTGCTTGCGCTGCGGAGCGGGAAGAAGTACGCGAATGCGTGGAGTTATTGGAGAAGTCGTTCGGCACTGGTCAACAATGCGGATGCGCAAATGTGAATTCAAAAAGGGAGACGAACGTAAAAAAAAGGAGGACAATGAAGGGGAGGCAACGCAAGCAGTGGGACGAGGAGTAGAAGGGATGGAAGGGAGACAAAAGGTTGGGAGGAGAGGGAGGAGCAACTATTGTACAGGCTATTATGAAGTGGACTGGCTGCTTACCACTTTACGTTGAAGGACAGTGTGGTCAGCTCAGTGGCACAACATGGGATCTGAGGCTCTGTACAGGCACTGCAACAGTAGATTGGAGAGACGAGTTGTAGCAATGTTTATTATCTGTGTTGTTGCACTCGGAGTACCTGCTAGAGGACACTTGCAAGCAAAGGACTAAAGCAACAACATAGTGTCAGGGCAGAGGGTTAGACTTAGAGAGATGGTGGAGGTCGGAGAGAAAGAGTGACAGCTGTAAGAGCGTCATTATATGCTCTCGATCTTCAGCGTTGATTATGTAATCAATGTTCATGATAGTAGTGAAGCTGTAAAACAAAACCAATATTATATTTAGATGCAAAAGGAAAGCACTATTTTACTTTATGATACAGTTGATAGTAATCTGACATGTCTATATTGCTTTTAACACATTGATATAGTTTTTACAAATATCTGAATGCCTTATACAAACAATATAAAATCTTTTACAAGGTGAATTTTAGTCTGTCTTCAAAGTTATAATCTAAGTATAATACTTTAGCTTATAATGTAAGGTTATCATAATGTATTCAATGAATTGTAATGATTTATAACACTC